GAAACCGTCCTTCTAGGATCGTCAAGAATGCTAACGCAAGAATTATTTGTACTAAGAAAGCGACCGAGGAAAATCATGAGTAGAGAAAGTAGATTTTAAAAATCAGAGAGGTTCAGAGTTGTATTAACTGAAATTTTATACATAATTCGCCTGTTATCCAAAGACATTGCATTCAAATATCTTGTTGTCGTGCATGTGAAACTTATTCGGAGCGTTTTGCCTTTGGCAGCGGAAGTCCAAAATCAATTTAGATGCCAAGATATCGACAATGACGTTACTTAATGAACTAAGAATATTACAGCAACATTGCCCCCTCCGTTTGATTTTGTACTCTTCATACTTTGTTTAGATGGCTGTGACCAAATGGTGATTATGGAAATATCGTAAACAATATGTTGAATTGCTATCGATTTCAATCTTTTTGCAATCAATATGTCTATTTCAAAATGCATGGATCATTAAGAGGTTTTACATATGTAGAGGTTACCTTACATTCTTCATATTCGAGTTAGGTTTTTTCTAAAATGGTACAATTGGTCAACAAAATCGTTTTGATTGTATTATATGACCTGAAGTGAAATAACTTTATTTTTTGCAAAACTAACCGCTTCAGAAATATTTCAATTATTACAAAAGAATCGTGAACTACGTATTGCGCATTTTGATTTCCACTAGTACGTGATTAATCCTTCGTGTCAAATTTCACTATGTCATCCAATCAAAACGTGTTTACAGTTTATACCCCATTTGTTATTTTTTTGTTGATACAACAGTCGACATGATGATAGACACATTAAGTTCAAGTTATTTATATTATATATTATCATTTACTCAGCACAGTCTGATATGCGGGTGACAAAGAGGGTATGGAAATCAATGTTGTCACTACCCGTCATAGAGGGTTGACTGGGGAACAAAAATACAACAACAAGACAAGGACAAATAAAGATATTTGTAACAGAATGAATAGTTATTTAAAAAATGTAAGTGTCGGAGTTAATTATAATGAACACGAAGGTTGACTTTCAGGAATATTAAAAAAACCCACAAAATGATATGTCTTATGAATGTTGTTTCAAGCACACTTTCTGATATTACATTGTCTAGGAATTAACTGAAGGTAGCCCTGTGACAAATCAGGATGTAGAGATGACTGGGGGAGAGAAGGATACGAGTGATAAACGAGTAAGTAAACATTTAGAGACTAACGAATGGTGATACGGTCGTCACACAATAAGACAGTACATTTACATATGTTCTATAAAGTAATTATGGTTTTCAACTATATAGTTAAGGTACTTTCAGCATATGCAAGACAATACTGAGTAAAAAAAGCAAATGACCGAGTTTTGATTATCTTGTTTTCTATCTCATTGATTGAAATTGTATGGATTATGAATCTATTTTTATCTTTATAAAACATTAATAATGCATGTGGTTGGCTAGGTGGTGACTGAAGATGTGCCTCTTCACAAAACAGAGATGACTGACAAACTCAAGGACATTGTTGTGGCTTCTCGTGATAGAGAATTGATCAAGGAACAGGAAGATAAAAATCATCAATGGGTTTGTAGATGTGTGTCATATAATAGGCATGTGGTTTCTCTTTCCTGTAGTCATTCATAATGCCAGCTAGCAGCGACCGAAGACATGTAATTCTTGGTTTGGAATAAATGATTAAGGACCTTGAATTATATGTAAGTCGAAACAGAGTCAGTCATATTGCAAAGTATTATAGTAACAAGTTTTTAACTAAAGTTGACGAAACAAGTTTACAGTGTCGTGTTATCAACACGTACTAATAGTCGATTGCTTAGGAAGAAACTGAATATTATGTCGCAAGTCCCATTAGCAAAGTGTTGACTGAGGAACAGAAAGACAAAAGTGATACACATGTGAGTAACCATTCCTGAGATTCAAACAAAGATAAAATAAGCACCTTTATATGAAACTTCGTGTGTTAAACAACAAAAGCTAAATTTCAGGATATGAATAGATCTACTCCTTGCCAGGAAACACTGGTCTTGTTCTAGAAATTTTAACGAAGAATTTGCATGTATATTAAGGTAGAACCTACCACTGAGGATGTGGGGAAGGAACCGAAAATAAAGAATACGGAATCAAGCGCTTTTGAGTTATTACATATCCAAAGAATTTATTTTAAAGAAATTGTCACGGTCAAACAGTTGACAGGTAGTTCAATATACACACCCGTTTCATAATATACTAACACGAAAAAGAAACGCAATTTCTTGCTAACAATAACGTAATCCCAATCGATTGGCCAGCATTCAGCCCAGATTTGTCTCCAATTGAGCATTTGTGGGACGAATTGGATAGGAGAGTTAGGAGACGTCCAAATGCCCCCACTAATCTGGTCCAGATCACACGTGCTTTGCATGAAGAGTGGAATAACATCCCCATTGCAAGGGTTAACACCCTGATGAATTCCATGCATCAGGGCTGCGACAGCTGCGACAGCTGCGCATGGAGGACACACAGGATACTGAAATGTCCGGCCGTGTTGCGCAATAAAAGTAGGGTCTTCGCTAAAAGGGGGATATTTGTGGCATAACTAGCATTGATAATCGATAGAACCTTCAACAAATGGTTCCAAACAGATGAAATTGTATACAAAAATGAATGAAATAATGTACCATTAAATTATATCATTTAAAAGAATCTTTTTAGGTTACACGGCGTTTCTTTTTCGTTTTAGTATATAAATCGCAAATAACACGTTCTTATATTCATTCGGTTAGGAAGAACCAGAGATTGATGCTGCGACTACTTACAATAGGGAGTTGAATGAGGAATTGAAGAGCAATAATGATACATCACAAGTAAGAAAGTATTCTGAAAAGATGGTCTGGTCATCTCAACTTTTAGATTTTAAATTAGAATGCCATCTACTAAAAAAAATTACGTAGTTTAACATGATGTATACACCAACAAGCAATCAATCGACTCGTTTATAAACATTATTTAATTCGTCTGGTATTAAAAGAATAAGCATTCAAATAGTTTTATCGTGTATGTGGAACTTACCAGGAGCGTTTACCTTTAGCTGCGCAAGTCAAAAATCAATTTAGATGTCATGATATGGACAATGACGGTACTTAATGAACTTCACAACAAAATTGCTAAAATACTAAACCATCAAATTACTTGTGAAATATATGCAAAATATCAAGTCACAAACGTTATTGAATTCATAATTTTATAGGAGGCGACTGGGGCTTGTATTTTGACCACTTACGATAAAGAGTTGACTGCAACAAAAGAGAACAACAATGATACACTTGTAAGTATATACTACTTTGGTTTAATTGACATATTATTAGGCACACTCGTTTTAAAATTGTAAAGATACTTACCGATTCCATAACTCTAAACGATATCACTTTTATGATTGGAAGGGTAAATTAAAACATTATTACTTTTCAAGGTATATATAATTAAAGGATTCATTATTGTTGCCAGTAGCATTTATTGCGTAAGGGAAATCAGGACCACGTGTTACAAAAGTGATCTTTGAAGCTCACTTTAAGTGTATATTTTGTTCCTTTATGTTTTACGAATGACTCATCAGTAAATAGTTTTCAATACGAATTTGAAATAAGATATCGTAGAGTGAGTCGAATATCAAAAATAAAACAGCATATTACAGCGGTTCCATTCTTGCATGACTCGGCAATGGTGCTAGGGACTGATATTATTGAAACACATGACTGGGGAAAATCCTAATTGGTCGAAATAATGCAAAACCTGGGGAGGTTTACTATGTAATGTCTGCATACCCAAGTTTAGCCTCAAAAGTTACTAGTTTGCTACCTAGTTATATAAATTAAAAAGATATGGATAATTTGGATTTGCTACTTAAAGAAAGTCAGTGTCACATTGATGTTTGCTACTAAAATTTTGTAACTTGGTTTCGTTATTCCTTCCGGATTTTCAAGTTTTTTTGTTGTACAGCTTTTGTTATCCTATGTCATATCAATTTTTCAACAATGCATCATAATTCTTCACAAAATCGTATTTTAATGATTTATTGCTCTTCAGTACTGTTTTCAGACGCACAAAATAAGACATCTCATATATGACTTCATATTGGCTACGTATTGTGATACTTACTCTGAAAAATTGTCCAGCAATGGTATCTAAACTTTTTTTTTCATGCAAAGGGAGATAATCGAAGTCATCACTTGTGTTTCTTGTGAAACATCAAATGAAATGAAAATAATGGATTCGTTACAAAATTTACTGAATTCCAATTATTTTCTAAAGATGTGATCTACTAAGAGAAGTATTGAACAAAAACCAAACACGTGAATAAAGATTTCATTTCATAATTAGATCTGTATGCAGCGTATAATCAATAATCAACTGAATAACACCTTACGTCTATCGTCAGTGATGCAAGGGACTTAAAGTGTGGTGAACTTAATGTCAAGCTCGAAAAAGGAAGTTCTTGCTTGACTGAACAATATGAGTTATTTATTCCTAGGATGAACCTGTCACAGAATATAAGAAAAAGAAAAGAAGGAAAAGAAAGAAAAAGAAAACGAACAAGGAAAAATTATCGGACTTACAGGTAACACGTGTCTTGTTTGTCTCGTTGACCAATAATGAAGATATTGTTAACCACCAAAATTACTAAAAGCCATATATCTCCAACTCTTTATGTAAAATTGATTACTATAGAAACACCTTCAAATTGAAGGCAGGTTTAGTGACGAAATGGGCAACAAAAGAAAATAAATGACTTGCACTTTTGAAATTGTAAAGAACCATCGTGATCGTAACAGAGAGCAGACACAATCAAAATAACTATAAAGCAGCTCTGGATGAAATTTCGAATTAAGAACCTTTAGTCATAATAACATCTAATATTGAATTATTAGCATGGACGGTATCTGTAAGATATCCCAAAGCAACAAATCAATAACCTGAAGATTATTTTGTTCAAATGTCCAATTCACATTATATTGCCCAGGGAGAATATGAAGCTACAGCTATGACACCTGTCGAGGGAGAATTAACGGAAGAACTGATGGACAATAATCATACAATTGTAAGTAAATGTTTGTCCGAAAAGTAATGGCTGATCTTTTGTCGTGAATTCGGTCATTATACCAACAACAACAAACTGAAATGTACTTCTGCCTTTCAAATAAATGATTAAGTACCTTGGACCATATGAAAGCCAAAATTGAATCAATCGTGTTTCCACCAAATGAACGGACATTATTGAGATCTAAATGTCGTGTTTTTCCGTTGTCTATATTTCCAACTGTATATCTGAGAGATACATTGATTAACACATGCTAACTAGGAGGTGATGAAAGTCCTGACTCCTTACGGCACAGTGTTGACTGGGAATTATTCATACAATGATACTCGAGTACCCGTTTATTTCATCAAATGAAAAATAATCATATATGTGCTGGCAAAATGCACGATATTGATTACAGCCGGACGCGATTGAAATCGGTAAAAGATCAGGATTTATTTTTGTATTGCAGCAAATGTTTATGTATTACTGTTTAAAAACATTTCAATGATATCAAAATAATTAATGTTAGTAATGTATGTGCTATGATCACAGAAATACGACTAATCAGTTAAAAGTTTGTATCTAATATTTCAAAAGATAAGTTACATTGTAATGTTATCAACACATACTGATATGCGTTTGACCAGGGAGGAACTGAAGCCAGTGTCACGAGTATTTCAACTGGCGAAGAGTTGACTGCGGAACAGGAAGACAAAAAAACTGATACACGAGTAAGTAATCGTGACTTATATTGAAACAAAGGCAAGCTCGTATGTTAAACAATAGCAGATAATTTTAGGATACATTCGGACTTGAATTTGTGCGTATTATGTTATGTATAATGGGAATGCTATTGTATCACTCCATATAAATCTGTGATTTTGCTTTTAATACGTTTAATTGTGTATAGGAGGATAGCTCTTACCCGACCTTGACTGCATAGCTCATGAAACATGACAAATATATTGTTGAAAATGGAAACACTGGTCTTGGCGCCAAATTATTTGAAATATCTATTTTCATCCTTTACTTTTTACTTACTATATAAAGAACACTTAAAACGAAAGATAATACTTTAATTAGTTATGACAATTTATTTCAAGAAAGAACCTATCGCCGAGGATAAGGTGAAACCGGAAATGAGGAAATCGAAAACAACCACAGAGGAAACACTTGGGTCACAGGTAATGTCTTTATGTTTGGATGAGATTTGACTCAAGGCATACAAGTGAATATCACCTTCTTATATCAATTTAGAATTTCGAAACAGTATAGCCGAAATGAAATTAAATGAAACTGTGTTATACTGTGTGATCCTAGAAGGACGAAACCGTCCTTCTAGGATCGTCAAGAATGCTAACGCAAGAATTATTTGTACTAAGAAAGCGACCGAGGAAAATCATGAGTAGAGAAAGTAGATTTTAAAAATCAGAGAGGTTCAGAGTTGTATTAACTGAAATTTTATACATAATTCGCCTGTTATCCAAAGACATTGCATTCAAATATCTTGTTGTCGTGCATGTGAAACTTATTCGGAGCGTTTTGCCTTTGGCAGCGGAAGTCCAAAATCAATTTAGATGCCAAGATATCGACAATGACGTTACTTAATGAACTAAGAATATTACAGCAACATTGCCCCCTCCGTTTGATTTTGTACTCTTCATACTTTGTTTAGATGGCTGTGACCAAATGGTGATTATGGAAATATCGTAAACAATATGTTGAATTGCTATCGATTTCAATCTTTTTGCAATCAATATGTCTATTTCAAAATGCATGGATCATTAAGAGGTTTTACATATGTAGAGGTTACCTTACATTCTTCATATTCGAGTTAGGTTTTTTTCTAAAATGGTACAATTGGTCAACAAAATCGTTTTGATTGTATTATATGACCTGAAGTGAAATAACTTTATTTTTTGCAAAACTAACCGCTTCAGAAATATTTCAATTATTACAAAAGAATCGTGAACTACGTATTGCGCATTTTGATTTCCACTAGTACGTGATTAATCCTTCGTGTCAAATTTCACTATGTCATCCAATCAAAACGTGTTTACAGTTTATACCCCATTTATTATTTTTTTGTTGATACAACAGTCGACATGATGATAGACACATTAAGTTCAAGTTATTTATATTATATATTATCATTTACTCAGCACAGTCTGATATGCGGGTGACAAAGAGGGTATGGAAATCAATGTTGTCACTACCCGTCATAGAGGGTTGACTGGGGAACAAAAATACAACAACAAGACAAGGACAAATAAAGATATTTGTAACAGAATGAATAGTTATTTAAAAAATGTAAGTGTCGGAGTTAATTATAATGAACACGAAGGTTGACTTTCAGGAATATTTAAAAAAAACCCACAAAATGATATGTCTTATGTATGTTGTTTCAAGCACACTTTCTGATATTACATTGTCTAGGAATTAACTGAAGGTAGCCCTGTGACAAATCAGGATGTAGAGATGACTGGGGGAGAGAAGGATACGAGTGATAAACGAGTAAGTAAACATTTAGAGACTAACGAATGGTGATACGGTCGTCACACAATAAGACAGTAAATTTACATATGTTCTATAAAGTAATTATGGTTTTCAACTATATAGTTAAGGTACTTTCAGCATATGCAAGACAATACTGAGTAAAAAAAGCAAATGACCGAGTTTTGATTATCTTGTTTTCTATCTCATTGATTGAAATTGTATGGATTATGAATCTATTTTTATCTTTATAAAACATTAATAATGCATGTGGTTGGCTAGGTGGTGACTGAAGATGTGCCTCTTCACAAAACAGAGATGACTGACAAACTCAAGGACATTGTTGTGGCTTCTCGTGATAGAGAATTGATCAAGGAACAGGAAGATAAAAATCATCAATGGGTTTGTAGATGTGTGTCATATAATAGGCATGTGGTTTCTCTTTCCTGTAGTCATTCATAATGCCAGCTAGCAGCGACCGAAGACATGTAATTCTTGGTTTGGAATAAATGATTAAGGACCTTGAATTATATGTAAGTCGAAACAGAGTCAGTCATATTGCAAAGTATTATAGTAACAAGTTTTTAACTAAAGTTGACGAAACAAGTTTACAGTGTCGTGTTATCAACACGTACTAATAGTCGATTGCTTAGGAAGAAACTGAATATTATGTCGCAAGTCCCATTAGCAAAGTGTTGACTGAGGAACAGAAAGACAAAAGTGATACACATGTGAGTAACCATTCCTGAGATTCAAACAAAGATAAAATAAGCACCTTTATATGAAACTTCGTGTGTTAAACAACAAAAGCTAAATTTCAGGATATGAATAGATCTACTCCTTGCCAGGAAACACTGGTCTTGTTCTAGAAATTTTAACGAAGAATTTGCATGTATATTAAGGTAGAACCTACCACTGAGGATGTGGGGAAGGAACCGAAAATAAAGAATACGGAATCAAGCGCTTTTGAGTTATTACATATCCAAAGAATTTATTTTAAAGAAATTGTCACGGTCAAACAGTTGACAGGTAGTTCAATATACACACCCGTTTCATAATATACTAACACGAAAAAGAAACGCAATTTCTTGCTAACAATAACGTAATCCCAATCGATTGGCCAGCATTCAGCCCAGATTTGTCTCCAATTGAGCATTTGTGGGACGAATTGGATAGGAGAGTTAGGAGACGTCCAAATGCCCCCACTAATCTGGTCCAGATCACACGTGCTTTGCATGAAGAGTGGAATAACATCCCCATTGCAAGGGTTAACACCCTGATGAATTCCATGCATCAGGGCTGCGACAGCTGCGACAGCTGCGCATGGAGGACACACAGGATACTGAAATGTCCGGCCGTGTTGCGCAATACAAGTAGGGTCTTCGCTAAAAGGGGGATATTTGTGGCATAACTAGCATTGATAATCGATAGAACCTTCAACAAATGGTTCCAAACAGATGAAATTGTATACAAAAATGAATGAAATAATGTACCATTAAATTATATCATTTAAAAGAATCTTTTTAGGTTACACGGCGTTTCTTTTTCGTTTTAGTATATAAATCGCAAATAACACGTTCTTATATTCATTCGGTTAGGAAGAACCAGAGATTGGTGCTGCGACTACTTACAATAGGGAGTTGAATGAGGAATTGAAGAGCAATAATGATACATCACAAGTAAGAAAGTATTCTGAAAAGATGGTCTGGTCATCTCAACTTTTAGATTTTAAATTAGAATGCCATCTACTAAAAAAAATTACGTAGTTTAATATGATGTATACACCAACAAGCAATCAATCGACTCGTTTATAAACATTATTTAATTCGTCTGGTATTAAAAGAATAAGCATTCAAATATTTTTATCGTGTATGTGGAACTTACCAGGAGCGTTTACCTTTAGCTGCGCAAGTCAAAAATCAATTTAGATGTCATGATATGGACAATGACGGTACTTAATGAACTTCACAACAAAATTGCTAAAATACTAAACCATCAAATTACTTGTGAAATATATGCAAAATATCAAGTCACAAACGTTATTGAATTCATAATTTTATAGGAGGCGACTGGGGCTTGTATTTTGACCACTTACGATAAAGAGTTGACTGCAACAAAAGAGAACAACAATGATACACTTGTAAGTATATACTACTTTGGTTTAATTGACATATTATTAGGCACACTCGTTTTAAAATTGTAAAGATACTTACCGATTCCATAACTCTAAACGATATCACTTTTATGATTGGAAGGGTAAATTAAAACATTATTACTTTTCAAGGTATATATAATTAAAGGATTCATTATTGTTGCCAGTAGCATTTATTGCGTAAGGGAAATCAGGACCACGTGTTACAAAAGTGATCTTTGAAGCTCACTTTAAGTGTATATTTTGTTCCTTTATGTTTTACGAATGACTCATCAGTAAATAGTTTTCAATACGAATTTGAAATAAGATATCGTAGAGTGAGTCGAATATCAAAAATAAAACAGCATATTACAGCGGTTCCATTCTTGCATGACTCGGCAATGGTGCTAGGGACTGATATTATTGAAACACATGACTGGGGAAAATCCTAATTGGTCGAAATAATGCAAAACCTGGGGAGGTTTACTATGTAATGTCTGCATACCCAAGTTTAGCCTCAAAAGTTACTAGTTTGCTACCTAGTTATATAAATTAAAAAGATATGGATAATTTGGATTTGCTACTTAAAGAAAGTCAGTGTCACATTGATGTTTGCTACTAAAATTTTGTAACTTGGTTTCGTTATTCCTTCCGGATTTTCAAGTTTTTTTGTTGTACAGCTTTTGTTATCCTATGTCATATCAATTTTTCAACAATGCATCATAATTCTTCACAAAATCGTATTTTAATGATTTATTGCTCTTCAGTACTGTTTTCAGACGCACAAAATAAGACATCTCATATATGACTTCATATTGGCTACGTATTGTGATACTTACTCTGAAAAATTGTCCAGCAATGGTATCTAAACTTTTTTTTTCATGCAAAGGGAGATAATCGAGGTCATCACTTGTGTTTCTTGTGAAACATCAAATGAAATGAAAATAATGGATTCGTTACAAAATTTACTGAATTCCAATTATTTTCTAAAGATGTGATCTACTAAGAGAAGTATTGAACAAAAACCAAACACGTGGATAAAGATTTCATTTCATAATTAGATCTGTATGCAGCGTATAATCAATAATCAACTGAATAACACCTTACGTCTATCGTCAGTGATGCAAGGGACTTAAAGTGTGGTGAACTTAATGTCAAGCTCGAAAAAGGAAGTTCTTGCTTGACTGAACAATATGAGTTATTTATTCCTAGGATGCACCTGTCACAGAATATAAGAAAAAGAAAAGAAGGAAAAGAAAGAAAAAGAAAACGAACAAGGAAAAATTATCGGACTTACAGGTAACACGTGTCTTGTTTGTCTCGTTGACCAATAATGAAGATATTGTTAACCACCAAAATTACTAAAAGCCATATATCTCCAACTCTTTATGTAAAATTGATTACTATAGAAACACCTTCAAATTGATGGCAGGTTTAGTGACGAAATGGGCAACAAAAGAAAATAAATGACTTGCACTTTTGAAATTGTAAAGAACCATCGTGATCGTAACAGAGAGCAGACACAATCAAAATAACTATAAAG